ATCTTTGCAAAATCTCCCTGGGAATTACTGAATGTAACGTTTCTATGTCAACTGAGGTCAAAGGGAGTAAAATATCTGTTACATCAAAATAGGAAGAACACTACTTTTGAGAGGTATGCAGATGAAAAGTCCTTTAAAGAGTATTTGTGCACTGAACAGAGCAGCTTTCAGAGAAGAAAAAAGTTACAATTCACAGGTTATCAGTATAACCAGAGACAGGTAGGAACCCAAAACACCTTACAAGCTTCCTCTTTTCCAACAGATACGGGAGGAAATTCAACTTTTCACTAGAGGAGAAGTTTGTTGCCACTTCACTGTCAGCAGTGGTAACAAAAGGGAACTAAATCCTTTCTTTTGGCAGGGGTTCCTTGAAGATGCACAGCTTTATTTTGAAAACTTGCAGAAACACGCAAAAGTATCATGCTCCCCTATCTGCTAAGCCAACAGCAATTAATCATACGCAAAGAAAAATGTCTCAGCAAGCAGCGTGCAATTCCAGTTTCATTAACGGCCACCTGGTCCCCGAGATGCAAACCCATGCAGGTTACCCTACACAAAAACCTGAGCAGCATCATGGCAACTGATAGCACAGAGAGCAGAGGAAGAGGAGGAGCCTTCAACTCCAGCAGCAGCCCCACAGCCAGGAGCTCAGGAAGGAATCAGTTCAGCAATGGAAAAACCCTTTTTGATGCAGCCGGACCAGTCTCGGATGTAGCAGTGGCAGCATCAGCCTTGCAGATGCTAAAGCATAGTGGTATTTCTATGCACACATTTGTGCATAAGATTCCAGTGGCAATGTTACGAGATCAACGCTCTGTAGTGTTATCAACTAACCACGAACAGTTACACTGGAAAGGAATTTTTCAAAACTCAGAACAAGCTCAAAAGGATCCTTTATTTCTTTTAGCACTCCGTGCAATCGCTCTGTGACTGGTTTCTAAGCAGGCACTCTGTCCCAGTGCCAGGCTGGGCACACTCAACACACTACTGTCCGGACTAAAATTGAGGCATTCTTCCAAAATTACTTTAATAGATTATTAATTCTTCTTAAGCATCTCAATAATTTATTGAGCCTGTTTACTGAGAAGTCCAAATAGCGCTAGGTGCTAAGGGCTAAAATCTCCATGGGCCTAACATCAGAGGTAACAGCTGAGCTACTTCAAAAAATTTGGCTTTCAGTTGGTGCAAGTGGATTGTCAGGTGACTCTGTACACCCATTTCATTGCTTATGAAACCAGAGCCCTGATGTCTAAATACCAGAAGACATGCAGGATTTATTCTATTTTAAACAAGAATTTGATACAAGATACCATCTTCGAAGCTATGAATTAAATTTAGCAATAGTTGAGAACAATTTATTAAACAAAACAAAGACACACAAAGTACTTTCCAAGTGGCGTTTATAAAGAAGTTACCTAACCAAAACTTTGGAAAGGAGCATAGCAACTGCCTAACAGCTCCCAAGCAAACACTGTATCCCAACAGGACTGCTGCCTCCCGTGGGAAGTGCTGACATTTCTGAACTCAAAGACAACACAACTATGCCTGGAAGTATAAAGATTAATAAAAAAATGGTACACTTGGTTTTATTATCCAAAGGTGCAAAATGCAACACAGTAAATTTTGCTGATGTAAACTGTAACACAGGTAGAATTATTTTCTTTGAGAACATTTGTTTCCAATGTTACATGCTACAGCTAACAGTGAGGAGGTCAAGCAATGCCCCTGCTTGCTGCAGGGGGTTGGACCAGCTGATCTTTAAAGGTCCTTCCAACCCAATACATTCTATGTTTTACATTATTTTTATTACTGACACTCTTTAAATTAAGCACCATCTACAAGCAAGAAAGGAATCACAACATTTTGATCTGCACAGTTACTCTTTTAACACACCATTTCTGTTAAGTGCTGATGTACCACATGCCAATTTAAAATTCATTATCAGAGCACGGCTTTCTCAATCCTATAAAGTAGTGGCCAACTGGCACAATTGAAGGTCTCCAGAGATCTCTGGTGGCACGAAGGCCTATGTTGTACAACCTGTCCCAGCAAGACTGTCTTTGGTAACAGCATAAACACTGAACAAGATCAATAAGGCGATAGATGGAACACTACAGCACACACACACTCTGCATGCTCAAATGAAGAAACACGAGTTGCCACACAGGCTACCCATAGCCAGGTCAGGGTACATCGACTGGACATCACAACCCCGTCAGACGACAAGGCTCTCAGCAATGTTTTCCAGCTCAGGCAGGAGACCTGCTTATCTCAGGTACTGAACATAGGCCAAACCGTCTACCAAAACATCTATGCTTCATGAACTGGCCATGTGAGGTAGCTTTTGTTATGGTTTAAGGGTTAACAGCCTGAAAGGGAAGGACAGGTGGTGTCTGTAGGACCCTTGGGGTCACAGATCAGTACTGTTCCCTCCCCTTTCCAGCCACAGTCTGTAGAAAACTGAGGAGGCCCAGGTTTTTGAGGGCTTTTCCTGTCACATCTTGGGACGGCTGGGCCTATCTCCGCGCGCTGGGCAGCTTCCACCGCCACCCGCTCCCGGCACCACTGCGGTCCATGGGGACAGTCACAGCAGTCACAGCGGACACGAGGCACTGCTCAGACACTGCCACTCGGGACTACTGGGATCGGGTTTTGTATAGAGTTAAATATCCTTTGTCCCTTATTAATTCCCTTTTCCTCCCCTGTTGTTTTTCATTAAACTTGTTACAGTCTTAACTTCCAACCTTGTGCAAAGCATCTTTTTCTCTATTCCCTTTTTTTTAATCCTCCCCTGGGAGGGTAGGGGACAATAGAAAGTCCTGCTCCCTGGGCTTGCCCTGAGCCTTAAAGGGAGACAGCTTTTTACAGGGGTCTAAGAGTAACAGAGAAGTAGCAATGCCTGTTACTACAGGGACACTCTCAAACCCTAGTTCAGCTGGCTGAATTCTGGATTTTAGACATAATTGTCCTCTGAGAAGGACTTTGTTGCAGAAAAGTCCTTCACTTCAAATACAAACTGTCACTGTCCTTAGCTGATGAAAACTTCTTGTGTGAAACTAACCAGCAAATGGAAAGATTTTTGGCAACTTCTTCAAAAAGATACGCTCCCTTGGTCCTGCACCTTGTTTGACCCATTAGTCAAACTGTAGAGAACTCCCCATGAATTTATCTTTGTCACTTCAGAAAGTGTTGTACCTTCGTGATTATCAAAAGGAAGCTGGAAGCAAGAATACCTGTGTTCCATTAAGTCACTGTCAGAGTGACTTCAGGCAACTTGCTGAACTTGTCTTTGTCTCAGTTTCTTCATCTGCAAACATCATTTGGAAATCTTTTGATGAAAGGGACTACCATCCTGGAAAACTATTTCAATTCATCTTACTTTATCTTAGAAAAACAGCCTGTAATGCTGTAACTTTTTTTATTTGAGTTGGCATTTCTCTCCAACGTAACTGAAAGTCAAGTACCCTCAAAAGAGAGTGCCAAAGTAAGCAAGTTACAACAGAGGTGCTCAAGGTTGCACACATACTGCATTTACAGCTCTCTGATGCCAGGCAGTGTCCTAGAAGTTGCTTGATTTTCTTGCTCTCCTATTGTCTGTTTCCACACTAATGGATATATGTGCATCCAGTTCTTTCTGTTTCTAAAATATATACAGTTACAGGGCTAGATCTTTTCCTCTTCAAAATTACCTTTTGTGCTGCCAAATTATTATAACTGGCAGTCTTTGGAAATGTAATCCTCTTTAAATTTGCTTTAAGATTTTGTATCTGTTATATAGGTGCCAGCTGGCTAAATGTGTCCATCAGTATGGCCACAACTACTCTGTGAAGTGTGGACTGCTACCCCTCTTCTGCCCCAGCCCGAAGAGTCAGCTACTATTTGTTTTCAGAGGCTCTCTCCCTAAAGTGAGAAGGGAACTATCAGTAAAAGAACAGATTAAAATTCCTTAACCTGCACAAGCAAAGAAACCAGCAAAACAGAAGAACAAGCTGAAAGGATTAGCCGGTCGTATGAACATCTACTACTGGTCAATAAAAGCCACAAGCCTTTTTGGAACAAATCATTTCTTCAAAAGCAACAAAGTAAAAGTTGTGAGGGATTGCTCAGTAAAAACTACACCGGGATTCAGACTGTCCTGTATGTTCAAACAGGTATACATGAAACAACTGCAAGGTAGCTGGAAATCTAGAGACACACTGAAGAGTACAAGATACCTAGCCCGTAACATAGAAAATCCAATGGGCACATCCTGGTAGTGGTAAGCAAATCAGCAACACCATAAAAATAAAGGGATGTTTTGACATGCAAATATTAACATCATAATGTCAAAATCCCAAATTCATAGTTCATTTGAGCAACAAAGCACAAGGAATAGGAGTGAAACAGTCCTTCTCCCAGATGTAAAGCCAACACCTCCCTGAGCTGCAAGCAGCCACTATCATACCAAGCCTTGGCTTATCACCACTTTGCAGGATACCAATCTTTTCTTTAACTATCAACAAATTTTCCCCTATCCAAAACAAAAAACATTCCAAGTGATATGGAGTCACTGATCCTACTCAGGGGTCCTGTCAATTCTTTGGGTACATATACAGCAGAAAATCCCATTCAAAGACAAAATAAGCAAATAACATCCTTGTTCTCAACAAGTGTGGCCCATCTAAAACACAAACAAGCGACAACTTTAAAGATCTCGGCCAGCACATTTCAATTTTCTGAAAGCCAGGACAAGAGACAGGCAACAAAAGGAAGCCCACCATAGCACTCAACAGCTGAGACATCTGAAAGGTGCTTAAGGAATTTAGGCACAGATGTTTCATTAAAACCAATGGAAAACAGAAGGTTTTGATACAGATAAACACACAAGAGGCCATTTTGAAACAGAATGCTGAAGATGTCTTGGCACAACAACAACATCTGAGGTCAAACCCCAATATAAAGTTGAACCTTTGGAAGAGATGAGGTAAAAAGACTGAATCTGAGTACTATTTTATCCATACCTCATATGGCTTGCCAGGCCATCTTGAGCATTAGAAAGTCCTAGATCTGAAAGGGAATCCGAGCAGACAGACACAGGCGACAAAGACCTCTCTTTCTCCTCTAGCAGATCAAGTTTCACCAAGGAGCTCGTCTCATCTTCTGAGTTATCCTCTGACACAGAGCCAATAATAAAGCGAGAGTGAGGGTTCACCTCCGGCGGTTTAGAGGGTTGGGAAGACTCTTCCATGGCTCCTACAAACTGGGCTCTCAGCACTGTAAGGGGCAAAGAAAGCAAAAAACCCCAAAACCTTAGGTTAATACCTGCTACTGCAGAACAAAGACAACGACAAAGCGAGGTTCACTTCTGATAGGAAATGCAATGTTAATAAACCATAGCTGAACCCAGAGAGGAGTCCAGGACTAAGAATCGCTAATTCTGCTATAATCATTGGCTTTTCTGATTGCACAAGGACTATGAGATCAAAGCAGCTGGTCATTCTGATCTGCTGCAGAAACTGTTAGTTTAGACAAAGCTGCAGTAGGCATTCAAAAAAAATCACATACAAATGCATGACTAGAAGTTCAAATTTTTTATTTTACTATTACTCTTTGGTTGGTTAGTTATTTGGGACATTTAAAACCTGACTGGACATGGTCCTGAGGACCTGTCCTAGCTGACTCTACTTAAGCAGGGAGTTGGACTAGATGATTTCCAGAGGCCCTTCCAACTCTAGCCATTCTGAGACTAAAAATGTGTATTTCAACAGCAACTGAATGCTGGGACTCATTGTGCTAGGTCCTGTACATAGCATTATTTAGTGCTGTTCAAATGTTGGAGGATTCGATTGGTCAAAACCACCCTTTCTGGGGGCTGGGCAAGACCTTAGGGCTATTCAGCACATGAGCACACCTCCATCTGAAACAAAACCTCCTCTTTTCGGCAGCCGTGAGCTCTCAGACTGCCTCAGCTATCTTCGGTAACTTCACCCTGACTTAAACTTATTGGTCTCAGACCATCCATGTCATTAGGAGATGGTATTGACTTCATGGTAAGATACTGAAACTTAGCAGCATGATTTGCAATTGTTAGATGAAAATACAAAAGTACAGGTCTCCATTTTCCATTAAAAAATCATTACACAGAGAGAGAAGAATCTCTTAAAACAGGGAACTCCGAGTATCAAAAATGCAGTGTTGTTCCAACAGTGAATGAATGCATTATCTTCAAAATTAAAAAAAACAAAGCAATAATATTTACAACTGAGAAAAAGAATGACAGATGGAGAAAACAAAGGAGCACCTGACAGCACAAAGACAGGTGGGATGGGGAACAAACATCTGATACACCCTGCTCTGCCTGACTTTGATGCACTTATATGATAACTACACACAACTGGAAATCATATCATTACAAAATCAGGAATGCACTAACCTCTTGCTATTCTTGCAACCTGAGCAGTTATCCACCTCCACAACGAACTGGAAGAGAAAAGAATTAACAAGAAATTATTATTATGAAGAAAACTGTGTGTCTGTTTTCCTGACTACGTGAATCTTTGAACACAAAACTGTCATGAAAAAACCACGGGTACAAAAGCCAGACTAGATTGCTTGCTCCAGGTCAGAGTGAGCCAGGAACTGAACCTGCAATGTCCAAGCCAAGACGTGGCACCTCCTGACAACTTCTGCGCAATGTGTTAGCACGCACTGATCACGCTACCTGTATTTCAGTTTTGTTTCTGAAAGAAACCACGTATGAGCCTCTGCTACCTACTTCTGTCAAACTTTTTTCTCTGTCAGCTCTGAACTCCTGGCCAATTTCAGATAAATTTGATGGTCGAAAGTGAATCCAAATGATAATTAAAAATCCTGTGAAAAACTGGTAGATAGAAGACACAGCTGACAAAGCATATTTTTACATGAAAAAGATCAACAGTTTACCTGCAAAACAAACTGTGATAGAGCAATACAGACAAGGACAAGACGAGGGGACATTTACCTCAGAGCCCCATTCTCCAGAGAGGTACTTCACTACGCAGAAAGGACTGGTTTGATATCCATAACTCTCACGCTACATTGACACCCTAAACCAGTGGGAAAACCTCGTCAGTCCTGCTAATTATAGCCACGTTATGCCAAGTACAGGGATGCAGCATAATTGGTTTGATGTGAATATGACAACTTTCATTGGGTACACAAGCCAAACTGGACCGTATTATAACACAAATAGGACATGATTGTAGTTTTAATTAGAGCACAGACAAGGAATTTATAGACAGTGCAATCCTTAAACACCATGCTCTTTCTTTTCATCAGTAACCGAGAATTAAAAACCGATCCAACTGGCTTATGCACTTTTACCATGAATGTACTTGACTGAATTATTTAGATCAAACCCTGTGTTGACATCGCTACTCCCACAAACTCCAGTTTCACTGGGGCCACAAGAGGTTCATTTTACAGAAGTAATTAACTATTTTATGACTGAAAAGCCACAAATATCTGTCCAACAGGCATTAAAAGGGTGGACCGATCTGCCTTCTTTGTGGGTAGAGGTGGAGAAGAAGGGAAGCAGACTGTAAAGTCTGCATACCTATCTGTAACGTCCAGAAACTAAATCACATAGGAGGATTTCTTTAACTCAGGTGCTTGGGCAAGACTTATAGCTCAGCACAAAGTTTAATCAAAACTTTTTTCTGCATATAAACATGAAGACAATATTTACATGTATATTCATCCTGGCACCAGATCACTCCTAAAGAATTTAATCCAGGCACATTTACTATTGGCAGAATTATCAGTGCTGAAGAATCTGGGATGCAGCCAAACTAACTTTAACCCTTTCTTAATGAACAAAAACTTTTTCTAATTTCAATATATTAATAAGCAAGTTTCAAGGCTTTCCCCCCCTCCCCTAAGCAGAGACTGAAACAGAAGAACAGGCAATGAAGCATTTCATTCAAATACTCCACAAGAAAGCATCAAACCAATGCCATGCTCAAACTTGACATAAACATCTTGTTTGTACAACTCCATTCAAAAGCAGTCACTTACCCATGAAGCCCCATTCAAGTCCATTTACCAATGCCTTTCCAACCCCTTGTAGTCCAGTCCCAAAGTCATGAGTTCTGTTAATGTTTTGCAATCAGCTGGTAACTCAACATTGCACTGACTCAGATGCTGAAATTTGTTATTCATAGTTAAATTAATTTCAGTATCGTCTGGGGCCAAATAAAATCGAGACTTTCTCGGAGATCTCCTCACAGAAGCCTTTAGCTTCCTCTGCCGCAAACAGAATGCACAAGAACGCACAAGTATCACCAAACCTCTGCATGTTGTATTCGCTGTCTGAAATGTAACCGGCAGTTTCGAACAAGGATCTGGAATTCAGCTGACCACCACGGCAATGTTTATGTACCACTAACGATTGCAGATGTGCCTCTACACTTACTTTTGCAGGTGTCAATAACCTGTCAAATGGGCTAACTTCTGCAGAGAAACTAAAAAAAACCACCTGTAAATTACAGAAGGATACAGGTTGGCAATTCAGTCCTGCAAAGATTTAGGAACAGGTAACATCATGCACTTTGAGCCTGCTCTGTTACTTGAACATGTTAAATCAGTCCAATCTTTACAGAACCTGAGCCATGCTGTCCTCCTTCCTCCTGTAGAGATCAGCTCACACTCAAAGTCTGAAGACACACAATGCTTCCACAACTCCCCAGCTCTACAGACATCAAGGTATTTAAGACCCGAATCACACTACAAGCAATGAAAATTCTGCAACCCGAACTCAAAAAGTAACAGATCTGATTTTTCCTGGGGTGAAACAAAACCCAATTCACTTCTCCACAGCTCTGCTACCACCATTAGTAAAGTCTTTGGCCTGACAGTGAAATGCAGATGTAAAAATACTAAACTTCAGTAGTTTTCATAACAGGTTTTTTCTTTCAGATCATTTTTACTATTGTAAAATACCCCTAGGCATGAAACCTAAGTAATGCCAGTGGGAAACCAAGTTTTTAATTTTTTCAAACCTCCCCATTCTGAAGACAATTACACTACTGAAAATTATTTCGTGAAAATGAGTTGCAGGTTCTTTCAAAGACTCAGAATAGTGCCTCTCCAACATCTATAAGTCACATAAAAAGGAAGTTAACAAAACCAAAGGTCTCCTGTTTAAAGCCCAGGGATCTGAGATACTGCTAATCAACAAAAATAATTCCAGAACAACTAAACAGACATGTATTTTCACCACCCTAACTGAATGAACACAGGTAACAGAAAACAAAGGAATAAAAAAGATAAAGTAAAAACAGACAGTGTTTGTTCCACAAGTTGACTACTAGTTTTTTCTGTACACACTCAATCAGTGACATGCTTACCTGTACCAGCACTGGAAGTGAGTTTCCAGATCAGGAGAGGGCAAAGAGATGATTTTTGCCCCAAGAAGGGCCACCAGGCACCCAAGTGTTTACCTGCGCTCTATCACGCCAGCTGCCACCGCACTCTGAGGCTCACTGGGTCTCAGACCTTGGCCAGGCCGTGTCTCCACGCAACCGGTGGGCCACGCTTCAAATCCTGCTCCACCTGCGCTGTGCCCCCTGGTTAATCATTGGGCATTGCTTCACTTCCTATCCTAAAATGCTTGCAGCAAACATCAAATGCTCTGTGATGTTCTTCTGCTTCTAAGGTATTTCTCAAACTACATGCCCACAGTTTAGAAGTTCTAGTTAGATAGTTTTCAGACTTACTGTACTGACATAAGAGAGATAAAGCTAAATGTGCAAGTGGAATATGTGCTTCCTAGGTCTCCTCAGGTAAAAAATGTCTGTGCCACTCTCAAAGAGAACAAAAATTAAAACAAGATTAAAAAAAAAAAGAAGAAAAAAGAAAAAAGCCTATATTTACAGCTATCCTGGTATGCTAAAACACTCCAGACTGTGTCTAAGTCCCATTGTCTTTGGGAGAACTGGGCATAACTTAAATAGTTTGCTGAATATTTACAGCCTGCTAAGTTGGAATAGAATAGAGTTTTACGTTAATTTTTTTTAAGTTTTAAATATTTTAACTATGCCATTTTAAAACTTTCTCAAGAAGATTTAAGAGACACCATGCAAGGAGGTGAGAACAACTTGATCTGCAAACCCGCTTTTACAACTACATTATTTTTAAGTACCCTGAAGCACTCCCAGAAGCCATTCCTTGGGCTCCTTTCAGCCTCTCAGAAGAAAAAAAAAATTAAAACTAATGCCCCAAACTCTTCCCTTAACATCTTAAAGTCCCATTAGAGACAGAAGAAGGGTGAGGATAAAGCAGAGGGTGCCTAAGGTGGCAAAGCAAGAGCCCGGTGCTCCGGCCCTGTGCCGGTTTGGTGGCTCCAGCACACTCCACCTTATTTTTTTTGTGAATTAACTCGCTTCCACGAGGCACAGCCACGGCAACTCCTTGTTCGGTGCCAGAGCAGCACCCAGCGCTGCCACCAGCTCAGGCGTGGAGGGGAACTGAGAGACCAGGAGTGACCGGACCCGCACGCGGGCAGCGGCGAGGCACCCGGAGGAAACCGCCTGGCT